TGCGTAAACTTTACGGTCTGCTCTCTCCAAGATCAGCCTGCTTCTCCATTTTACCGTGAAGCCTAATTTCTAGTTTTTATAAATACAATGCAAGTGCAGGTTTACTAATCTTAATCTACTTAAGGGGGGGGGCCAATGGATATTTTTTTGTGAAACTTGATTTCGAGATAGTAGTTGACCAACAAACTAAGACCAGTGTCCGAACTTTTGAGGGGGTCCCGGACCCCAACCGCCAAACGGTGCGCGCAGGGCAGCCACGCCTATATTTGGTCCAAATTAGGCCCAATTTAGCCAAATACCCTGAACATGCCCAAAACCAAGGTTTATGGTGCTCTACTTGTAGCTAGTGGTCTCCTGAACTCGTATATGAAATTTCATCAAGATTGGACGAAAAATGACTGAGTTATGAGCCAAAAACCATATGCCCATATTTGGGCATACGCACCAAATTTGGTAGATTTCGGCCCATAAATTGGTCAAATATCAATATTTTTGAATGAAACTTACTTTATATGAAAGGTAAGCCTAAACTACATATTATCTGTAAGTTATAGCTTTATATCTGTTTAAATGTGGATACTAAGGCGAAAAAACCACAAAAAATGAACTAAATTGCCCATATCTCGGTTCGCGATATTTGCGGAATTGATCTCATTAAAATTGTAACAACTCAATCAGTTTTCAAAATTTTTGCATGAAATTTTCGGAATCGACTCGAAATCGCATTTCCACCTTATTTTAAATACGGATTTTTGATTTAGGCCTCCAAAAAAATTTGGCGGCCAAATTCTGAATTTTTGTGAGATAATTTTGGAATTTGGCCGCCAAATTTTTTTGGAGGCCTAAATCAAAAATCCGTATTTAAAATAAGGTGGAAATGCGATTTCGAGTCGATTCCGAAAATTTCATGCAAAAATTTTGAAAACTGATTGAGTTGTTACAATTTTAATGAGATCAATTCCGCAAATATCGCGAACCGAGATATGGGCAATTTAGTTCATTTTTTGTGGTTTTTTCGCCTTAGTATCCACATTTAAACAGATATAAAGCTATAACTTACAGATAATATGTAGTTTAGGCTTACCTTTCATATAAAGTAAGTTTCATTCAAAAATATTGATATTTGACCAATTTATGGGACGAAATCTACCAAATTTGGTGCGTATGCCCAAATATGGGCATATGGTTTTTGGCTCATAACTCAGTCATTTTTTGTCCAATCTTGATGAAATTTCATATACGAGTTCAGGAGACCACTAGCTACAAGTAGAGCACCATAAACCTTGGTTTTGGGCATGTTCAGGGTATTTGGCTAAATTGGGCCTAATTTGGACCAAATATGGGCGTGGCTGCCATGCGCGCACCGTTTGGCGGTTGGGGTCCGGGACCCCCTCAAAAGTTCGGTCACTGGTCTTAGTTTGTTGGTCAATTGCTATCTCGAAATCAAGTTTCACAAAAAAATACCCATTGGCCCCCCCCCCCCCCCCCCCTAAAACAACTCAATAGCCCAAGTCACCATACCCGTAGTATATTCCATGGTAATAGAAGAGTAGAAGAACTTTAAAGTTTTTCAAATTGTTGCTATAATTGATTTAAATAAAAAATTGTTGTTTTCTTGAAAAATTGTTGTTTTCTTGATCAGCCATAGCATTAGTTAGATAGATTTTCTTTCATATCAACTGCCCTTATTATAGCTAGAATGGATTTATACAGGAAATATAGAAACCCATGCCCATTTTTCATCACATTGAAATTATACTGTTGGGGCAGGAAAAGTAAATTTCGTCACATTTCGGTAAATTAGTGATATCAAACTCAGCATTGTTAAACTTGGGTTCTGATTTGCTGAAAAATAACCAACCAATAATTCCTAAAGGAAATTGAATTTTAACTGAGGTATGGTTCTTTAAAATAAAGAAATGTAAATTTCGTCACATACGTAATTTTAAAATTTAGATACGGGTATATGGCCCCCAGAATATAGGTCGTTTTTTGAGCACTTAGAAACAGGTGTTAAAACTACTTCTAAGCATGTTTAGGGCTGTAAATATGTACATAATAACCCTTTAAATGTTTCTTGGGTAGTTGAAAATAATTATTAGGTTTTTAAGTGTACTTTTTTTTCACCTGTAAAAATACCATTTTTTAACAGGGCCCCCAGAATATAGGTCCAAACATCTGTTCCTAAGTTGTTCTAAAATTGTCACAGACAGTTATATGCAGTCAGAATATGTTGCTGAGACTGTATTGATGATGCCAATGGCTCCAGATACTAAATTGAAAAGGTTTAGAGTATACTTAATAGCAAAAAATCAAAAACTACGGCCCCCAGAATATAGGTATGCAAAAATCGTCCTCAAATACTCCACCTTCATACATTTTGATGATGCCATCTCTTCAGCATATGTTCTTTAACTGTTTCTCATCACTACCCCACATTCCTTAATGCTCAGGGTGACAGAGAAAATGCAGAATCTTGGTCGCTATTTTTTTTTTAAAACCTATATTCTGGGGGCCATATACCCGTAATGAGTAAAATCTTTAATTTTACTTGTTAAAAAGCTTTCATGCACTCATTTAGTAGGGATCTTAACTAAATACTTAAATAAGATTGAAGGAGTGTCCCTAGATATGATTGAGGGGGGCTGTTTTTATCTGTATCAATACAATGTGCACCTCAATGACTGTAAATCAGACATTTTTGGCCGCCAAATTTTTTTAAAGGCCTAACTCAAAATTCTGTCCCAAAACTTAAGGTCATGAGACAATTCTACGTTGATTCTGAAAATTTCATGTGGAAATATTGAAACCCTATTGAGTTCTATTGTTTTGAGCGAAGTCAGTTTGAGATATGGGCGATTTTGTTCATTTTTTGCGATTATTTGAACACAGAATCCACAGTTAGGTAGATATTGAGCTGATAATCATAGAGAATGTGTAATATATGCTTACCTTCCATATAAAGTTGGTTTCATTCAAAAATATTGATATTTGACCAATTTATGGACCAAAATCGATCAAATTTGGTGCGTATGCCCAAATATGGGCATATGGTTTTTGTTTTTATCCCATAACTCGGCCAATTTTTATCCAATTTTGATAAAACTTGATATGTGGGTTCAGGAGACTAGTAGCTACAAGTAGAGCATCCCAAAGCATGGTTTTGGGCATATTCTGGGGGCCCGTAAAATTGTGGTGGCCATAACTTTTTTCCAAATTGTCAGTTTGCAGATGTCTCGATGAAAAGATAGCTTAAAATAATACTTATACTCATACCAGTAGTCTTAATGGCATGTGTTGGACAGATTTTTGTCATGACAATTTTTCGCCATATTTACCCCTCTAGAAAATGACAACATCGTTTAAATATTTCGCTGTCATGACCAAATATACCAAAATACCTCATGTAGGTCCAAAATTTTTATCCAGAAACATAAGTTACATGTTTTACTCCAACCTAGCAGTAACAGATCCCATTAGTATCGCTTATCTTGGTTAGAACTGTATCCACTAACATGACCTATATTTTGGGGCCACCTATATTCTGGGGGCCATATACCCGTATATTTTATTTCCTACCAATAGTCCTTATTATAGTCGGAATGGATTTATACAAGAAATGTAGAAACCCATGCCAATTTTTCATCACATTGAAATTATACTGTTGGGGCAGGAAAAGTAAATTTCGTCACATTTCAGTAACTTAGTAAAATTAAACTCAGCATTGTTAAACTCGAGTTCTATTTTGCTAAACAATAACCAACCTATAATTCCTGGAAGAACATTGAATTCTAACCGAGGTATGGTTCTTCAAAATAGGGTCAAGAAATGTAAATTTCGTCACATACGAGTACGTCATTGTAAAATTTAGATACAATTTCTTTCACGTGAACAGTCCTAATTACAGTCCGAAATGATTAATACAGAGATACAGGAAATTTTAAAAACCCCTGCCCATTTAATAATGTATGTAATATTATGTTAATCACAGACTATTTCATTCTATAATCATTGCTTCCAAATTTAACCTATTTATGATGTCGTATCATTTTGTGACGATGTTTACATCAACTGCCCTATACTTGAATCAACTGTATCCGTGTATCGTCCTTATATAGAGTTTTCCCGCAAAATGTAACCTATTTACGATGTCGTATCATTTTGTGAGGATGTTTACAACAACTGCCCTATACTTGAATAAACTGTATCCGTGTATCGTCCTTATATAGATTTTCCCCGCAAAATGTAACCTATTTATGATGTCGTATCATTTTGTGACGATGTTTACATCAACTGCCCTATACTTGAATCAACTGTATCCGTGTATCGTCCTTATATAGAGTTTTCCCGCCTTCCACACCAAAATCAGATATAAATGATTTCGGAAATTCACCCAGAATTTCAAATTCCATTATATAATGTGACAGAATTTACACCATTTCCCAATAACCAAGTGCATGTATTAGCTAACTTTTCAAAACAACATATTTTAGGGCTATGATTGGCAGAAGAACCATCAAATAATGAGTTGAAAGGGTTTTGAGGACACCTCACAGTAGAAAAGAGGTCTCGTATTCTGAGTGTGACAAAGTTTACGAAATATTGCCTTAAAGCCGTTCGATCCGTGCCCTTTAACCAATGTTGTATCATAATTGTTAGATTGACCTAATCTACTATATTTCAGACCAAGGAATGATAATTGGGCAGCTATGGTAAACAATGTCACAAAAATGTGACATTTTTTACATTATAGTGCCTAAAAGCAATACATTTTATTTCTGAGCAGTGCATATGTCAGTATGGGTCACGTGGCTAATGTTCAGAACTTATGAACACGCTAGATTAATAGATGCTAAAATTAAGCCACTATCGTCGAAAACGCTATTTTAGAAATTTACCAATATCCTCAAACTTCAATGAACGTGTCCATCTACAAAAACTTAGTATTTAGCCTACACACCTTTCTCAATACATGCCTTAACCCAAACACCCTACTACAGGTCAGTAAGCTACCCTGCCCCAGTCTACTATGCACATCTCGCGTGCGCGTCTGCACGTGCGCGCATGCTCTCCCGCTACGACTGGCAGGAGATGATCACTCCAGAGGACCGGCCCTCTGAGCAGGAGATCGAGCAGGTGACCAGACCTGACAAGTTCAACATGTTCTTCATCTAGACCTCTTGATACTTCTGCAGGAGTAATCACCAATACCGACACTGGCCAGTTTCTTGGCAAACCGCCAGATTATGTGGCAGATTGCAGGCCGCAGGGACATTTCACCTTAAGGAGGTGGTTTATTGGCATCTCGCCTTGCATGATTATATTTATATCTTAGTTTATAAACTATAATAATAATTGGTAATGAGCCAAGTATCTGTATGAGCCATCCAATTCTTTATTCGTGAAAAAGTATTCTTAAAAACTACTGCAATCCATATTATTACAGTGGTTTTTCGTGTAAAGAATTGGTGTGTTAGTTACGGTTATGTAACTATATAACATGTATATAATGTATATAGCTATAATACGTAACTAACTGTAAAGTTTTGAGAAAGTGAAAGTTACCTGGACTCATGCTTATATTGTTGTTAATAATTATTAGTTTCAAGATAAAGATTGGTTGATTGGATTCTGTTCGATGGATCTGCAAAACATATTAACAATCTGAACAGTAACTATAGTTTTATAAAAAACATGATTTAATATGAGATGATTTACAATTATTTTTGATTATATTATTTTCGGAATAAATCGAATTAATGTTTAAATTAATGTTTAAAAACATACCATGTCTAAATTTAGAAGCACTCAAGTTATGAAGTTACAATATGTTTTAAACATCATTATGAGATTATGATTCACAATATTCTGGATTGTTTTGCATAAACGATTAAATAAAAAAGGAGGTACAGATCAGTTGAAATAGAAATAGACATGCTTTACATCATAAAGCACAGCACCTAAGGGAGTAAAGGCTATGTTGAAATGATTAATTAGATTTGACATTATTACTGTGTAGAAATATATAAACAGTGTACTATATATACGTTTAATCTTTTTTTACTTACACTTTGCGTTTTTATTATTCGTTGGCACTGGTGGGGAGTTGAGCAGTGTTTAATCAGAGGCGTAACGAAGGGCCCCGCTGTGCGGGGGGGGGGGGTTCTGAATCAGCGTCCAAGAATGCACCGATCATATCCATACCGTCATATATATATATATAAATAAACCTTACAGAGCTCTATATAATATCTGCGCTCCTACTAAATCGCTCGCCCAAATTTTAAGAAAATTATTGTGAAAAAGCCCTTTGGGTTTGAAATTGATCTAAATCGGTGTATTTTTGGACGCTGATTCCGAATCACCCCCCATGACGTAGGGTGAAATGCTTCCCTGGAGAGTTATGGGCAAAAAACCGTTTTGGTCACGTGACAGGCTAGTAAAACATGAATTCGATTGTTTTCGGGTTAGGGTTGTGGTAAGGGTTATGGATAGCTTCGGGGTTATGGTTATATATATATATAATAACATCTATAAACAAAAGAGCACCTAAAGAGGCTCAGCAAAGTGCTGGCCTATTTACGCTTACGAAGACTCATTCGTTCAATATGTCTCAAAGTAAATAAACTCCTCCATCCTACTCTATCTCTTGCTAAGTTCACTAAGTTGGTAAAATCATTTTCGTTTTTCAAATAAATTGGTCTCTTAAATAGGTCCTTTTTCACAATAATATCATACAAATTAGTGCTATGTCTATTGTCTACCCACTCGTCCCTTTAGCGTTTGACATCCTAGTGTAGCAAATAACAGAGACTGGTAGGCAGGCGTGTCGTTGTCACTGCGTAGAACATGACCTAGCATTGTCCACCGTGCCTTTCCACTCTCTCGGAAAGGGGCCTGGTCTGGGTACGAGCGTAGATGGCCTTGTTAGATATTGAGCTAGGCCAATAGATGTGTACTTGTAGGAGGCGCTTGAGGTGCTTCCTCTGAACAACATCTACAGACTCTAGCACATGCTGAGGTACGGCCCAGCAGCAGCAGTTGTACAGGAGCACTGATACTACTAGTGCATAGTGAGTCGTAGAGTTTGATCTTTCTCTTCTCTGCAGTTATCTGACTCCTCTCTGATCCCAGATCCCTGGCACCACAGCTTGTCAAATGACCAGAAGGCGGTGTTAGCTTTATTTATTCTATTAGTAACATCCTGCTCTGATCCAAGCTTAGTACCAAGAAGCGTCTCGTTTCTCCACTCCTCTTTTCCTCTTAGCTCATTATCCCACTCGTCGCAGGCACCAACTTCTTCTAAATACACTCTGGTAAACTTTGTCTTTGTGTCATTGACAAAGAGACTCCATTCACTGAGAATATTCTTGGAGATCTGAAAGATATCCTGTAACTCCTCCATATTTTCACCAATCTTCTCTACATCGTCTGAATAGCCGGACTCAAGAGGCATGTGGTTATCGGCTATCGGAGGGTTGGGTCTATAGGGGAGGACTGCTCTTTTGTGCACTACAGCTCCAGCTAGATTGAGGGTAAACAATTTACCAGCTGTGCTGTCTCCTTGGGAGGCTCCTATGTTGAAAGAGAACATCTCTGAGTCAGTAGTATAGAAAACACTCTGACTACTATAAGAGTGGTGTTAGCCATGAGGTATTGTACAAGCCTCAGGTCGTCTCTGGAGCATCCTGCAGCTTCTAGTAGTCTGATTGTTGTACCTCTGCGGATAGTATTGAAGGCAGCTGACATGTCAATACTCACTTTCAACTTTGTTCCATTCAAACTCTTTCTTCATTACTACAGATATGAGCATGCTCTGTGCCCAAACTAACTATGCCCAGGAAACCTTACCGTTAGGGGCCTAACTTCGGAAGTAAAAGAGATAGAAACGTCTGGTTTTCAACAAAATGTCCGTCTCGTAAAACTAAAGTTAGCTCCCCAGGAGCCAAATTTAAAACAATGTAGATTTTGAATTATCGCGAAAAGTCATATTTTAGGCCTTATAAAACTGCGCAGCTTTAACTTTGCGGATTCTTGTTCTCTGATTGGCTGAATCGTATCACGTGGTACGTGGTACAATTGCATTCTTGGAATAATTGAAGCCTGCAAATGCATTATTGCAATGAACTAACGAGCGCGCGCGGAGTTCAACAACAAACAAGCTGTGAAAAGGCGATCACCCTGCACTGTAGTAATATCGCTAGCCGGTAAGGTCTGCTGGGGGGGGGGGGGGGGGGAAGGGGGGTTTCGGTCGTTGATTACGTAATCAAAATTTTCTTTTTTACCCTCTAGAATAATAACAATTTGACAATATTTTAATTCAAATTCCACTCAATTTCACTCTGATAGTGATAAAATTTAGAAATTGATCGAATATCCGGCTATAATAGTAAGTTGTTTAGAAGGTGCTTGGCCGGATATCATAACAATGATTTCGTCTCATCATGATAGCATGATCAGGGTAGCATGAAACGTAGAGAAAAGTGTCAGGCCATGATTACGTAATATTGCTGTCAGAAGGGGGGGGGGGGGGGGGGTTGGGTCTTGATTACGGTTGATGATTACGTAATATTGCTGTCAGAAGGGGGGGTGGGTTAGGTCTTGATTACGGTTGATTACGGAAGGGGGGAGGGGGGTAAAAATTGCTAAAATATTGATTACGTAATATGTGAACGATCGCGACCCCTATCACTCAATCAAACACACCTTCAACCGAGAGCCCTACTTACACTTATGCAAAGGCTTCTCTTGTCGTTATAGCACCACAAATCTTAGAATCAGCGCCCATGATCTCCATATTGAAAAAGGCAGATACTCCATGTACTTACTTGTACTTGATTAGGTCTCCTCAATCATTCGAGTGGCCTGCACCAATGAACTCCCGTTTGTGGCGTATCATCTCCCTCCACAGTTTGCGGTCACTAGCCATCTCGCTCGCTCCTTCTAGGTCTATGTCAGTGTTTCCTGTAAACGCTGCAGCATCTTCCAGCAAACATTTCCTCCAGTTCTTTCTTGGACGGCCCCTAGATCTTCTCCCATGGGCAGGGGTCCAGTTAAGCAGGTACTTAGGAAGCCTAGTGTCTGGCATTCTGGTGACATGGCCAAACCAACGCAGGCGATTTGCTCCTATGAACGTCTCTACTGGATTTATCTTTGCACGCTCCAGCACTTCGGTGTTTCTAACCCGATCGAGCCATCTTATTCTAAGTATTCTCCTCAAGCAACGCTGATGGAACACCTCAAAGCGATGTAGCTGCTTTTTGGTTGTGTTCCAAACCTCACTACCATATAACAATATTGTCAAAACCGCTGCCTTATAAATCCTGATCTTTGTATAAGACTGGATGTTGCGGTTTTTCCATATATTACTCAGTTGATTGAAGGCTCCGGAAGCTTTCTGAATCCTAGCTGACAGCTCACGGTCGATAGTACCGTCGCTGGAAATAATTGTACCCAAGTACGTAAAGTCACTAACTTGCTGCACTGGCGTGTCTTGAACAGTGATGTTCACTGTGGCTTCTTTCGTGTATGGCCGTTGAGAGGTTACTTTACCAATGACCATAGCCTCAGTCTTTTTACCATTGATTCTAAGACCTCCCTGGGCACCATACATGCACAAAAGGTCAGTTGTTTCTTGAAGACCTTCCTCGCTGTTATCCAGTACAGCCATGTCATCTGCATAATCTGTATCTAACACAGTGATATCCTCAACAAGCGGACTGATAGATCTTTGAAGAACCGCTCCGTGGGACACCACTTTGTTGCTTTCTGTTCTCTCAGCAGCCACATTGAGGCAGACATTAAAAAGTGGGGGACCCTGAATGTCTCCTTGGCCACTGCCTGAACTTACTTCAAACCATTCTGATAGTTCACCATTGTGTCCAACAGCACTAACAGTTCCATTAAAGAATGCCTGTATTATTCGAATGTATTTACATGGCAGGCCATAATGACTGAAAGCTTTCCAAATATAATTCCTGTCGATGGAATCAAAAGCTGCCTTGAAGTCCACAAAATTTACATACAGGGGGAGATTATATTCAATGCAGTTATGTATAATAGTGCGGAGTGAATAAATCTGATCAATGCATGATCTGTTCTTTCTAAACCCACACTGATTGTCTCGTAGCAAACTTTCTAAACCGTCACTCATGCGTTGTAATATGATGATTTGATACAGTTTAGATGCTGTAGATCTTAGAGTGATCCCCCTATTATTGGAGCAATGAGAGGTATCACCCTTCTTTGGTACAATTATCACGATGCCTTTCAACCAGTCGTCAGGCACTGCTTCTGAATTCCAAACTTTAGAGAACAATTTCTCCATCCTATCCGCAAGACCACTTGCCCCATACTTTAACTGCTCATTAGAGATTTCGTCGATCCCAGCACTTTTGTGGTTCTTCAATTTTTTGAGACAGTTTAAAATCTCAAGTCTGGTGGGGGGACCATCACCATCACCAAGATAAGGAAAGCATGGAACCACTTCAAGATGGTCCAGGTCAGACAGATCCGCATTCGTGGGAGGAGGGTTAAATAGCTCCGAAAAATGTTCTCCCCATCTCTCTCTCTGAGCAGAGGGATCAGCAATCAACTTCCCGGATTTGTCTCTTACAGCAGTTGATTTTCGATTCTTCTTACCGGACAGTGTTTTTATCCGTTGCCAGACTTCCCTTTGCCGGCCATGGACAGCAGCTGTTTCCAGATCTGCTGCAACTCTAAGAGCCCAATTCTCGTCGTCTTTCCTGCAGCTCTTTTTGACAAGTTTGTTGGCCCGAGAATACTCGCTCCTATTGTTGTTGTCACTAGGCGCCATCTGTTTAATCTTACTGCGTTCGGCAATAAGGCTTTTTGTCTCCTGAGACAAATGCTGCTGCTTTCTGCGCCGGGGGCGCTCACCCAGTACCTCCATAGACACTTCTTTAATAGTATCCTTAACTAATGTCCATTCTCCGTCAAGATTCTCCTCCATTGGTAGGCAGCTAAAACGATTTTGAAGAGCAATGCAGTACTCTTCAACCTTGGACTGATCTCTAAGATTCTCAATTGCTGGAGATATCCTACGAGAGGCGTTCATTTTTTTGAACTGCCATAAGTTTGACTCCATGTGCTTGGTGTCAATCAAGTATGAGCGTTGAGACCATCGAAGACGAGTCACATGTTCTTTACATAATACATATGTGACTTGTATTCAAAACAGAGGTCGAAATTAGTCAAAAATCTTTCTCAAATGCCACTCATTGAAATAAGCACTGAAATCACCAACTCAAGCAATATCATTATCAACATTTTTTTTTAAACATTTGAATATAATTTGAAACATTACAGAAATGTTGTACAAATCGCTCAAACACACACACTAGGTTCACTAGGTCAAGGTGAACTTCGGAGAACACTTCTTTCCAATAAGATACACTCATAGAGTAGCAATGTTGGTCATTGGTATGCAAGCTATTCAACATTTTTTCATCGATATTTAACATTTTAAAGTTTTTGAAAATAACAAAAAATTACAAATCAAATTCACCGTCCAGGTATATCTCCTGATCTGTCGTTTGGAACATGTCGAAGTAATCAAGCCTTCCTGCAGCAGCAAAATCGGTAGAACCAGTTCCCTGTGCTCATATCGCTGAAAACACCATCCCCTCCAGCCTTCACTTCATCAAACCTCACGTTCGTGTTCCCAGGAGATCCACAACCGTAGTTGTAGTAGTGTCCGAGTCGTTGGGAGTAAGAAGTTGCTTGTCCTTTGTAGCCGCTGATTGAGATGTCAGCGTCACACAGGTTGAACGCGGTATCTCCACAGACTTGATCACAGCTTCTCGTGTTTTCCTTTGCCATGACAGAGTTTCCCCAAGGTCCAGAACCTCCAGTAGGGGTGCTTCCTCTGCAAGCTGCAGCTGCTGCCATGTGGAGAGACTGCCAGGCATGGGCTCTATCCAGTTCAACTTGTTCTTCCTTCATAGCCTCTATTTGGGCTGTCATGCCAGTGAGGGCGACTTCCTTGTTTTGGAGGACTAGAGAGAAAGATTTATTAAGAGTTCCGATCTGTTCTTTAAGGCTCTCAACCTCGCTGACTCTAGCTGCGTCGCTGAAAAGTGTACTGTAAAAGTATACCACGAGAAGAAGTTTAACTTAAAGTGGGCAAACTCAGAAAAAGTATATGATAAAATATTACATTATTGGGACAAGTGAGACTGGGAATATTCTGCTTTGAATTTTATTGTGAGAAGAAATTAAAATAGACAGACTTACAACTTTAAAATATAATTAAAAGACTAAAGCTAAATAATGATCATAATCTCTCACGTCTTCAAGTCCTGCATCTCTTTAGATCGTGCTGCCCTTGATAGAGTCGTCTCCGCCTTTGATAGCTTCATTTCAGCCGTGTTTTCTGCGGACCTGTAAATTTGTGAGTGACGAACTATTCAGTATTATAAAGGAGTAAAGGGTTCTTCATAGCAAATACAAGACCGGAAGCTGTGTATAACTGTAAAATCTAGTTTTCGTTACAACTGTCACTTCCAAGTTCCAAACCAAACTTTTAATAGAATAGATTCGACTGAAATAGGATCTGAGTCTTACGATATAGTGAGTTTAGCAATCTTTTCAGAAAGTTCTGTCACGAGGTCGTTCAGAGAGACAATGTTATGCATTGAGGAGTAGAGGAGATCTTTTAAGTCCTCAGCTGCCTCAGTGTCACTGTCAGGCCGTTGCCGTTTTCCTTCTAGTTCCTGCGAAAATTGGTCTAGTGTTGGTATTGTCATTGGGTCTTGACTATTGATCGAGTCTTTATAATTATGATGATGTTACCTAGGGACCTCAGGCTTTTCTGTTCAATCATTGAATGTTGAAGATACGGCAGAATGACAGGCTGAATACCGCCCAGTGAGTCCAATATAGCGTTTGATATAAATTAAACAATGTTTATTGACATCAAAATAAGTTGTGGGTGAATCTACTGAATTGTGTAACCGTGGAATAAAATAACTCTTCAAATAGATATTTTTTGTGGCTTATTTACGAACTTGTAAAACTTCAACACTAACCACAGCTGCAGTTATCTCCACTGTTGCCAGGGCTAAACAGAGGACCACACAGATTGAACTTGTCATTTTAAATCTTACCGGGGTCAACTAGATTTTGTGTCGTTACTCGTTAGATATTAGAAATTGGAATGACGGAGCAGAATTTGAGTACAGTGAAACTGAAACACCAAAAGTAATGCTTAGGGGCCGTTCGGCGTTCACATATTACGTAATCAATATTTTGGCAATTTTTACCCCCCCCCCCCCCCTCCGTAATCAACCGTAATCAAGACCGAACCCCCCCCCCCCCCCCCCCTATAATTATATTACATAATCAAGGTTTGACCCCCCGGCCCCCCGTAATCAAGACCCAACCCCCCTCCTATATAACGTAATCAAGGTTACACACACCCCCTCCCCCATTTTTGAGTTAAATTTTGATGTAGGGATACAAGAAATACACATTATTCATTGCTGTCTGAGACTTGAGAAGATTTTTGATTACATAATTAACAAAAATTGTCTAATTGGTATTTCGAAAATCGGTAAAAAATCAAAATTTTGATTACGTAATCAACGACCAAAACCCCCCTCCCCCCCGTAATCAACCGTAAGCGTTTGAAACCCCCCCCCCCCTCGGCTGATTACGTAATATATTCACATATTACGTAATAATTTTTTGGAACATTTTACCCCCCCCCCCCCCCCCCCCCAGGCCCCTCAGTAATCAGTCTTACACATAGCTATTGTGTCAATATTACACTAGCGTAATCATTCGGAAACCCCGGGCCCCCTCAGCTAGCTGATTACGTATTATGTGAACGTCCCCTTTATATATTATATGGATCAAGTAGTACAACTTTAAATAGTGCAGAAAATGTAGATCGAAAAGATGGTATAGGAGAAATTTCAACATTTACAACATACAACTACAAGTAACAAGAAAATGCAAATATGACTCCAAAGATTTACTACAGCATACTATACTGGCTTGGGATGCATCACACTTATCTCTAACTCTAAGATATTAGCAATCTTCAAAAATTGTCAGGTTTATGAAACTTTTGAACTTTTAAAGAGTTGATAAATAAATTGAAACGGTTTCAAATCCCCGCCTGCAATAAATAGTCACTAGCAACTAGGATTTAATGATCTCACACCAACATCTTACCTGGGGACCCCAGGCTTTCATATTTATGTTCATAATAGAGATTAGGCGGTATGACAGGCTGAGCCTCGCCCAGTAAACCAACGTCCAACATTGGTGTGAAAAAATTAGGCCCAGAGTTTAGTGGGGTACCGGTAATAATTGAGAAACCATCGAATTTATAATGAGTTTTTGCAATTCTCACCATGACAAAGATAACTTTTCTAATTTGATCAAAGATCTCCATGCCGGATGAATGATATTGAAAATGATATCAATTTAGCAAGGACGAACGTCCAACATTGTCTTGAAAACCGAAAACTTTGGAGTTTTGATGTAACACCTGCTCTTTCAATTTAATTAGATTTTAGTGGGGTAATAATTGAGAAACCATTGAATTTATAATGAGTTTTTGCAATTCTCACCACTACAAAAATAACTTTTCTTATTCAATCAAAGATCTCTATGCTGGATGAATGATATCAATTTAGCAGGGACCTTTAGTGAGAAGAAACGATCAGTGAAAAATGATAACAGACCGATGATGTAGCCTCCAATTCCTAATTTTTGTGCCCACAAATTAGTGCGCAGGGATGTTTGGGTATTGCATCATGCATGAGGTGACATGATATTAGCTCGGCTCGATTGGGACGGAAAATTGGAAGAATTTATGTGCAATACATACTTATTACTTACTTATTTTGGGTGATCCTCGATCGAAATCTCGTTCATTATCTTCCTCCAAACTTCTTATCTTGATCGCCCGTGGCAGAATGAAAATGAAGATCGTGTAACCCCAGGAAACCTTACTGGTATGGGCCTAACTTCGAAAATAAAAGAAATAGAAACGTCTGATTTTCAACAAAATGTTCGTCCCGTAAAACTAAAGTTAGCTCCCCAGGAGCACAATTTGGGACAACCTAGATTTTGAATTATCGCGAAAAGTCATATTTTGGGCCTTATAAAACTGCGCAGCTTTAAGTTTGCGGATTCTTGTTCTCTGATTGGCTGAATCGTATCACGTGGTACGTGGTACAATTGCATTCTTGGAATAATTGAAGCGTGCAAATGCAATGAACTAACGAGCGCGCGCGGAGTTCAACAAGCTGTGAAAAGGCGATCGCCTGTAGTAATATTGCCAGCCAGTAAGGTCTGCTGGGTGGTTAGGGTTGGGATTAGGGTTTATGTAAAACCGTTTTGTTGTTTGTACGGCTGCAAATCCATAAAAACCAAAGCCACGTGAAATTTTTGGGCGAGCGAATTAGTAAAAAGTAAAAACAAAAAACCACTTTGGTCTTGTCATACGTTGTATGACCCGCCGCGCACGAGTGCGCGGCTCCCTCTGTATCGTAGAAACTACACACTATAGTGAAGCGACAGTGGGGGTCACCACGTGATACAACTTTGGTCTACTTGCTGTGAGGTGTCTCAGCTACATGTGTTGGGGGTCGCTCTTATTTATTTTTGTTTTGTTCTGTCTATAATGTACACGTGCACATGCACAACTTTTTCTATGCAGATGGCAGTTGCAAATTAAATCATGTCAAATGTGGTTGTACTTAAAATGGTAGGAGTAAGACATTTTTATAATTTTTCTTTCATCAAAGTTTTCTTCGGACATTAAGGGGCCATCTACTTAGGCAGGACGTCCAGCAAATATGGAGGGGGTGGTTTTGGAATTTCGGACAAATCCGGAAAGGGGGAGGGGGGTTCTAAAATCCGAACGTCCGGAAATGTACGCAGAATTAATGAAAAAATCTCATTTATTTCAACTCTTTGACACTAATTACTTTGTAAGTTAGATCCTTGTATTTTGAACGAGAAGTCGATTCCGAGAGCAGCTAATGCTAATGAGAGCCGAGACACAACTCGCATATATTATTAATATTATTTTCCTACTGCCTTAAAACTAATTTGATTGGATGGCTACTTAAGTACTTAAATTTTTAAATGTACTTTAAAAGTACTTAAATCTTTAACTGTGCTAAACTTGTTAGACACTGAAAGTAAATTTATTATTGTCTATTTTAAGTACAAAGTATAAACTACACATTTTATTAACAATGAATTTGAGTTGGTTTTATTTGTACTCTTAAAAGTAGCTTAAAAGTACTCTTAAAAGTAGCTGGAAATCCGGACGTCAGGGGGAGAGGGTGGTTTTGAAAATCCGGACACACCCGGACAGGGGGAGGTTTACCTGGGGACCCCAGGCTATTATGTTCATAAACATTAAAGAATAAAGATTTGGCGGAATGACAGGCTGAGCGCGGCCCAGTAAGAGGAGGTCTGAAAATCTGCGTTTTTGGCGGACGTCCTAAGTAGAAAAGAAGGCCCCTAAGCTTGCTCTATCCAGAGCCCTTGCGCTTGCAGTATGCAGTAGCGCGCGCCCGCCGCTTGACTTGTGAAACAAGCGCGCCCGAAGTGGCGCGAAAGCACATGGTTAGGTGAACCCCTAAGCTTCCAGTATAATTACTGGAGCTTCCTCGATAGTGGATAGTGACTTGTCTCACTCACACTGACCTCATTGATTGGTCACTGGTCAAAAAGTCAGTAAAACCTGTCATATTTCGGTCAAGAAAACGGCAGAAAAGCTAATTCTGCTCAAAATCTTCCCTTCTTTTCTGATAGTGGATGAGATACTGATCGAATTTTATCAATATTAAAGCCTTTTTGGTAATCCAGATATTCAACTTCCAGTTCCTCAAACAATGATGACTTCGCCACTCACACTGCCCTCATCGTCAAATAAATGTCACATTTCCAGCAGAGGGAACGCAGATTAAGTTTCAAAATCTTCCAAAATGTTTACTTCGAATATATTCTGACGAATTTCTGTTTGTCAAAGCTTTCTTCTTTGGAAATCAAAGCTTTCATACCACAATCGTGTCTTGTGCCCTCCACAGGCAGAACTCATAATTTGGTGATATACAAGAAAAATCTTAAAATACAGTCAAAACAACGAAATTAGGTTGCGGGAAACTGACGATGTCCTACCTGCGTACGTAATTCACATAAGTCTCCTTTCATCAAAGATTTCTCCGGACACAATAGCTTCCAGAAACGTTCGAAGGTGACTTGTGTTAGTCCTCACTGATTGTTTTAAAAGTAATTTAACTTCGGCCGACATCTTCGTGTCAGTAATGGGCAATGGACGGCGTGTCCAATTCATGGTCCATGAAATAAACAGCGAGGAACGGAATTTGATCTAACCGCAGTCCGAAACCAGTACAGCTGCAGGATTTTATTTAAAATCGTATATCAGTCGTGCGCGCGCGACCAATAGACGATGGAATTTAAGCTCTACAAAAGGGTATCTGCGCGTTCCCCATACTTTAAAAAAAATGTACTTCTAGATGTCCCGACTCCTGAAACGTTGACAGAGAAATCCAGTTAAATATAATCCCCAGACACCAGTAACCTCAACAGTCCACAGCCCTTCAATTTTAGTATACCTTTCTAGAAAGATATTAGTTATCTTTTAAATCCAAATATAATTTAGGTCTTTGCAAGTGTTTCACGAGAAATCTCTTTATGACCACTAAACTGGAAATCGGAGCAAACCTAGAATATAAATCGTCAACTGAAATACCATCTCAGAATTGAGATGAAATTCTAGGATTGTAGTCACGATACAAACGATGCATTCCATCACCGCAATAGCTCGCTGTCTCTTAACACACAGTTATTGTTAACCACAAAATTAACAATTGTACTTTGAAGCTGGAACTAAATATAAAAACAAGTGACACAGTGACGGAGTTAGAAGTGAAGGGACAGTGTGTGATTTCATAGTGACTTAATTCAACATGATTTAATACGTAGAAAGATAACGGCCACCCCCCCCCCCCACAGGTCATGGTTTTGCGGAATAAGAATGTGTATCTTAAACACACTCCAATGCAGTTCTTACGATTACGGTGTTAAGATCATTGCAGGTTGCGGT